TGCTAGACTCCAGCTACCTGCTAGCCTCCAGCTACCTGCTAGACTTCAGTCACCTGCTAGACTCCAGCTTCCTGCTAAACTCCACTACCTGCTAGACACCAGCTACCTGCTAGACTCCAGCTACTGCTAGTCCGGCTACTGCTAGACTCCAGCTACCTGCTAGACTTCAGCCAGCTGCTGGACTCCAGCTACCTGCTAGACTCCAGCTACCTGCTAGACTCCAGTCACCTGCTAGACTCCAGCTACCTGCTAGACTCCAGCTACCTGCTAGACTCCAGCTACCCGCAAGACTTCAGCTACCTGCTAGACTCCAGCTTCCTGCTAGACTCCACCCAGCTGCTAGACTCCATCCACCTGCTAGAAAACCAGCCATATGCTAGACTCCAGCCACCTGCTAGACTCCAGCCACTTGATAGACTCCAGCTACCTGCTAGACTCCAGCCACCTGCTAGACTCCAGCTACCTGCTAGACTCCAGCTACCTGCTAGACTTCAGCTACCTGCTAGACTCCAGCTACCTGCTAGACTCCAGCTACCTGCTAGACTTCAGCAGCCGCTGCCGCACTCCATCCACCTGCTAGATTCCAGCTACCTGCTAGACTTCATCTACCTGCTAGACTCCAGCTACCTGCTAGACTCCAGCTACCTGCTAGACTTTAGCTACCTGCTAGACTCCAGCTACCTGCTAGACACCAGATACCTGCTAGACTCCAGCTACCTGCTAGACTCCAGCCAGCTGCTAGACTCCAGCTACCTGCTAGACTCCAGCTACCTGCTAGACTCCAGCTACCTGCTAGACTCCTGCCAGCTGCTAGACTTAAGCTACTTACTAGACTCCAGCCACCTGCTAGACTCCAGCTACCTGCTAGACTCCAGCTACCTGCTAGACTCCAGCTACCTGCTAGACTTCAGCTACCTGCTGGAGTAAAGCTACCTGCTAGACTCCAGTTACCTGCTAGACTCCAGCTACCTGCTAGACTTCAGCTACCTGCTGGAGTAAAGCTACCTGCCAGACTCCAGCTACCTGCTAGACTTCAGCTACCTTCTAGACTCCAACTACCTGCTAGACTCCAGCTACCTGCTAGACTCCAGCTACCTGCTAGACTCCAGCTACCTGCTAGATTCCAGCCAGCTGCTAGACTCCAGCTACCAGCTAGACTTCAGCTACTTGCTAGACTCCAGCTACCTGCTAGACTCCAGCCACCTGCTAGAGTCCAGCCACCTGCTAGACTCCAGCCATCTGCTAGACTCCAGCTACCTGCTAGACTCCAGCTACCTGCTAGACTCCATCCAGCAACTAGACTCCAGCTACTTGCTAGACTCCAGCCACTTGCTAGACTCCAGCCACCTGCAAACTCCAGCCAGCTTCTAGATTCCAGCCACATGCCAGACTACAGCCACCTGTCAGACTTCAGCTACCAGCCAGACTCCAGCCACCTGTCAGACTCCAGCCACCTGTCAGAATCCAGCCACTTGATAGACTCCATCCACCTGTCAGACTCCAGCCATCTGTCAGACTGCAGCCACCTGTAAGACTTCAGCCACCAGCCAGAATCCAGCCACCTGTCAGACTCCAGCCACCTGTCAGAATCCAGCCACCTGTCAGACTCCAGCCACCTGTCAGACTTCAGCCACCTGGCAGACTCCAGCCACCTGGCAGACTCCAGCCACCTGTCAGACTCCAGCCACCTGTCAGACTCCAGTCACCTGTTAGACTGCAACCACCTGTCAGACTCCAGTCACCTGTCAGACTCCAGCCACCTGTCAGACTTCAGCCACCAGCCAGACTCCAGCCACCTGTCAGACTCCAGCCACCTGATAGACTCCATCCACCTGTCAGACTCCAGCCACCTGTCACACTCCAGCCACCTGATAGACTCCATCCACCTGTCAGACTCCAGCTATCTGTGAGACTCCAGCCACCTGTCAGACTCCAGCCACCTGTCAGACTCCAGCCACCTGTCAGACTTCAGCCACCTGTCAGACTCCAGTCACCTGTTAGACTGCAACCACCTGTCAGACTCCAGTCACCTGTCAGACTCCAGCCACCTGTCAGACTTCAGCCACCAGCCAGACTCCAGCCACCTGTCAGACTCCAGCCACCTGATAGACTCCATCCACCTGTCAGACTCCAGCCATATGTCAGACTCCAGTCACCTGTCAGACTCCAGCCACCTGTCAGACTTCAGCCACCAGCCAGTCTCCAGCACCTGTCAGACTCCAGCCACCTGTCAGACTCCAGCCACCTGTCAGACTCCAGCCACCTGATAGACTGTTACAAAAAAACGCGATTCTAAAAGCTTAGAGATCTCCAGGTAATACTAGAAAGGACTGCCCTTCTAGCATCCAGCCTGTTACTGGGTTTTCGTAACAAGTAGTCAGTATCCTTGTCCAATTATCCATTAAAATTCAGTATGGTTCAATCGTGCTTTAGGATTACAACTGGTAGGCTACTAACTAGAGAAATTAAAATTTAATAAATTTATTAAGTCTAGAGGTATATTATCAAAGTAAATTAAATCACAGCAATCAAATAAAATCAATCTCTCGAGTTCAATTTTAATTGTGCGAAAACACATATCACATTTAATAATTTTTAAGTACCGTCTGGAAACATTAACATTTAATAAGATATTACAAATAGTACAAGTAAGTGTGTGTATGCGTGTAAGTGCTCTTAAGTAGTTAGCTATGTTCTCAATTTCGAATAAGACTAAACAAGTGACTGACAAAGTCCTCAAATAAACTAACTCTTGACCGACTGGCAACCCGACAGTCTGCTTGAACAACAAAGAATGCTAAGCCCAATAGCAATGCAATATCAAGCGACTGCGACAAAAACAATCAGGAACTGGGAAATAATAAAACGACACAAAGTAGGGACCATCAGCAGATCCCCTCCACAAAAGTTACAAAACTCCCATACTACTGAATCTAAGTTCACATGGGAAAAAACCCTGACTGTGACAAAAACCCCAGAACCCAGTAAAAAATTTAGGTCAGAACTATAGCTAAGGACCTGAGATGTTCAGAGTGTCTAAGCGAGACACAACCTCAGTACAACGTCGAAAATCAAAAAGTCTATACAATGTTCTGTGAACAGAGTTCTACAGAACTAACAAGAATAATGAGACAGACAATCTGTCTAACCACCAAGCGAGTCTCCAGCAGACTGACTACTTCACGAGAGGTGAGGACACCCCCCCCTCGATCACGTGATAGCCCCGTGGACAGCACAGCTCAGAAGCCGGCAGTATAACGAGCAAACAAGCGATAATTACAGTAGTTTGACAATCAAGACTTGAACTGAGCACATATTATGTACATCCTAACAACATAAGTCAAATAACAATATAAGGCAATACATTTACGATTTAGCTATTATCGCAAATATAAGCAATATAAAATTATATGAAAAGGTAATATACATTACATATATACATAATAATCATTGTAACCCATTCAGGGGTTGCAACAGACTCCATCCACCTGTCAGACTCCAGCCATCTGTCAGACTCCAGCCACCTGTCAGACTCCAGCCACCTGTCAGACTCCAGTCACCTGTCAGACTCCAGCCACCTGTCAGACTTCAGCCACCAGCCAGACTCCAACCACCTGTCAGACTCCAGCCACCTGTCAGACTCCAGCCACCTGGCAGACTCCAGCCACCTGGCAGACTTCAGCCACCAGCCAGACTCCAGCCACCTGTCAGACTCCAGCCACCTGTCAGACTTCAGCCACCAGCCAGACTCCGGCCACCTGGCAGACTCCAGCCACCTGTCAGACTCCAGCCAACTGTCAGACTCCAGCCACCTGTCAGGCTTCAGCCACCAGCCAGACTCCAGCCACCTGTCAGACTCCAGCCACCTGTCAGACTTCAGCCACCAGCCAGACTCCAGCCACCTGTCAGACTCCAGCCACCTGTCAGACTTCAGCCACCAGCCAGACTCCGGCCACCTGGCAGACTCCAGCCACCTGTCAGACTCCAGCCAACTGTCAGACTCCAGCCACCTGTCAGGCTTCAGCCACCAGCCAGACTCCAGCCACCTGTTAGACTCCAGCCAACTGTCAGACTTCAGCCACCAGCCAGACTCCAGCCACCTGTCAGACTCCAGCCACCTGTCAGACTCCACCACCGTCGACTCCAGCCACCTGTCAGACTCCAGCCACCTGTCAGACTCCAGCCACCTGTCAGACTCCAGCCACCTGTCAGACTTCAGCCACCAGCCAGACTCCAGCCACATGTCTGACTCCAGCCACCTGTCAGACTCCAGCCACCTGTCAGACTTCAGCCACCAGCCAGACTCCAGCCACCTGTCAGACTCCAGCCACCTGTCAGACTCTAGCCACCTGTCAGACTCCAGCCACCTGTCAGACTCCAGCCACCTGACAGACTCCGGACACCTGTCAGACTCCAGCCACCTGTCAGACTTCAGCCACGAGCCAGACTCCAGCCACCTCTCAGACTCCAGCCACCTGTCAGACTCCAGCCACCTGATAGACTCCATCCACTTGTCAGACTCCAGCCATCTGTCAGACTCCAGCCACCTGTCAGACTTCAGCCACCAGCCAGACTCCAGCCATCTGGCAGACTCCAGCCACCTGTCAGACTCCAGCCACCTGTCAGACTCCAGCCAACTGTCAGACTCCAGCCACCTGTCAGACTTCAGCCACCAGCCAGACTCCAGCCACCTCTCAGACTCCAGCCACCTGACAGACTCCAGCCACCAGCCAGACTCCAGCCACCTGTCAGACTTCAGCCACCAGCCAGACTCCAGCCACCTCTCAGACTCCAGCCACCTGACAGACTCCAGCCACCTGTCAGACTCCAGCCACCTGTCAGACTCCAGCCACCTGTCAGACTCCAGCCACCTGTCAGGCTCCAGTCACCTGTCAGACTCCAGCCACCTGTCAGACTCCGTATCCTTCACAATCACATTACACCTTCATATTAAAAGCAACATATTTAGAGATTATAACAACTCACTGACATTGTTGCAGACATGGTGCAGAGATGAAGGTGGGAAGTGTGTTGCCGTGGCTGGGAGATCCTGCCGGATGCTGCAGCACAACACCTGCCCGGATGGAGCTGTCTGCTGTGCTAGAAGTACGTTCTCAACTTGTTAGTAACGAAGGTAGAAATTACGACATTATTTGAAGTTTTATTTGTGGCAACGTTTCGCTCTCCGGGAGGGCAAAACGTTGCTACAATAATTACGTCACATTAGTCGTTCAAGTGTGTGTTTCCTGGCACTGCTAGTTACGCTTTGCCTCTTCGTGCCATTTAAAGTTAATATTGCTTTAAACCCGATAGTCTAAACAAGAGGGAACTTAAAATAATAATAATAATAATAATAATAATAATAATCATAATAATAATAATAATAATAATAATAATAATAATAATAATAATATTAAAAATAACAATTTTAAATGGTCAGTTCTTTTTCTGGCCCAAAGATTTTTTGTTTTTTGGGGTTGTTGTACACACAAAAACACAACAAAACACGCACAAACACACACACACACACAACCACACACCCCAAAACCACAAACACACACACACACTCCAAAACACACACACACACACACACACACACACACCCCACACACAAACCCCCACACCACACTCACACACACACTCACACACACCCCCAAAACTACACACACCACACACACCTCACACAACACACACACTCACACACACACACACACCAACACACACCACACACTCACACACACACTCCACACACACCACACAACACACAAAACCCAAAAAACACCCCAAAAACACACACTCACCACACACAACACACACCACACACAACCCCCACACACACACTCACACACCACCACACACCACTCACACCAAAACCCCCTAAAAAATACCCAAAACCACACACACACTCACACACCACACCCCTCCCCAACACCACACACACAACTCACACCACACCACCACACACCACACACACACCACACAAAAACACCCACACACACTCACACACACACACACACACCACACACACACACACACACACACAAACCACCACCACACCCCACCACAACACACCACACACACAACACACACACTCACCACACACACACTCACACAACTCACACACAACTCAAAAACACACTCACACACACAACACTCACACACACAACACCCCCCCACACCCCACCCCACACACACTCCCCACACACACCACACACACCACACAACCCCACCACACACCACCACACACACATCACAAAACCCACACCCCACCACACCACACACACACACACACAACACACCCCAACCACACAACAACACCCCACCCACACACCACACACACCACACACACACACACACACACACAACACAACACTTTAAAAAAAAAATTAATAATCTAGTACCAAAAGAACCTTAAAAACTTCCTAACCTTATTATAAACAACCGAAATTTAATTTAGCCCTAAACGCTAAATATATTTAATAATTTTCAAAAATTTTTAATAAAAACCCCAAAACAAAATGAAATTTTTTTTTTTCTTTGGGGTTCAGAATGTTTTTTTGCGAAATTATTGCACACACAAATTATTCCAAACAAAAAAATTATTGCACACAAAATTATTCCCACAACAGCTTCTTAGCTTGGAAGGATTCTTTTGGGTCCAATTGTGCCTCTGGGGTAGAAAGTACAGAAGAACTGCTTCTAAATTTTCCCTGTTAGAAGCCCCTGTACTACAGGGAAAGCCCTGTTAAAATAGGGACCATTGTCGAGCCCCCGTCCTCCGTTGTGTTTATATATCTATAGCTGTAATCATTTTTCCTGAGCGAGTTTGCTTATCAGGTAAAGGGAAAGACAAAGAAAATTCAGGGAGAAGATAAAGACGTCAGGCAAGTGCGGAGGAAGCTTGGACATGTGTGGTCGCCATGCGGGTTGTTTGTGACTCCAAGACCAAGGACAGTGGGTAAGGACGGAGCGCACCCCTGTCTCCCAATAAGTTAAAACTTAAAATGGTTTTCTCGAATTTAATCCTCCCAAAATGCAAAGTCAAAAATAGGGGAAGGGCACAGAAGACCACAGACAGAGTATAGGCAAGGTGGCCAAAACTGCAAACCTCACTAAAGGGGAAAAGATCTTGGGGGTGAGTATAACACCGAGCATGTCCCGGAAGCACACAAAATCAAAAAACTGCTGCAGCATATGGGCCCTGGCAAACCTAGAACAGAAATTCCGAACCTAGTAAGGAATCGTTCAAGACACTGTAAACCCCGTGTAGTCAGGCCCATACGGGAGATCAGCACCTTTTTGGAACCCGCATTTTGATAAAGACGTCAGAAACTAGAGAAATACAAAGGTTTGCGAAAAGGGTTATTTTCCAGACAAAGGGGGAAGCCCAGAAGAAAGATTAAGGGGAAATCGGCCTGACGACACTGGGGGACAGGAGGTCGGGGGAGACATGAAACACATAAAAATACTGCGGGGAAATTTAGACAAGGTGGAAAAAGACAGGATTTCAGGGGGGGGGACACATAAACAAAGGCCACAATTGGAATTGAAGACACAAATGATCGAGAGTATTGGGAAGTATTTCTTCAGTCATAGATTGAAGGCAGTGGAATAGCCTAGAAAATGACAGTGGACCAGGAACCATACACATTTTTTAAGACGGGGTTTGAAAAAAGCTCATGGAGCGGGAGAGAGAGGGTCTAGTAAACCCGGGTGAAGAGGGGGGGCCGGGAGCAAGGCTCGACCCCTGCAACCACAAATGGGTGAGTACAAATAGGTGATACAAAAGGGGTACACACACACACACACACACACACACACACAACACACACACACACACACAAAAGCGGGGATAACGGGAAGGGCACTACAAGGGATCAGGGAATACTGTCAGGAAAACCCACACGTTATGGTACGGGGCGGGGTGTCAGAGTGGCACCGGCCCAGGGGCCCACAGGGGTCAGTCCTAGACCAGTGCTGTTTCTGGTATTTCGAACGACAGAGAAGGATAACCCCCAGGTGTACCTGTTTTTCAGATGACTGAAGTTGATGAGAAGAATACATTTGATCGAAACCACAGAACACAAAAGGGGTCTGGGCAGGCTGCGCCCGGTCCAGCAATTGGCCCTAGTCAATCCCCCAAATGCAAATCATGAAGATTGGGGAACGCAAAGAAGACCCAAGGAGTACGTCTAACGGGTCAGAGACTACAAACCCCACAAGGAAAAAGATCTGGTGATAAAACCCCGGGGCACTCTCCTGAAGCGCCATCACCAAAAACGCTGCAGCATATGGGCGCCAGCAAACCCAGAACAGCATTCCGACATTTTAAAAAGGAATCGCAGGACCCTGAACACCGTGTAGTTGGGCCCCAAATGGATAGCGGCACCATTTTTGGAACCCACACCTGCCAAGACGTAAAGAAACGGGAAAAAGGCAAAGGGTTTTGCAACAAGACAGTCCCGGGGCTAAAGGTACGCCCTACGGGGGAGAGGTCAAGGGGAAATTTAAACCCTACGAACATTTTGAGGACGGGGAGGGTGGGGGGAATAATAACGACATACAAAATACGAGGGAAATTGCCAAGGTGAAAAAAGACGGATGTTCCAGAGATTGGACACAGCAAAAAGGGGACCAGTTGGGGAAAATTTGAAGAAAGATAAATCACGGATGTTAGGAAGTATTTCTTCCCCCACAGAGTATCAGTAAGGGGAATTTTTGGAACGATGTAATGGAGGCAGGATCCAAACATACTTTAAGCAAGGTATGATAAAGCCACGGTTCAGGAGAGTGACCTAGTAGCGATCAGTAAAGAGGCAGGCCGGGACTCGACTCGACCCCCGCAACCCCCAACGGGTGAGTACCACACACATGATAACGACATAAAAAATACTGAGGGGTATAGACAAGGGGGACAAACGGGATGCCCAGGGATGGGACACGCAACAGTGTCACAGTTGGAGGTTGAAGCCGATGAATCACACGGATGAAGGAAGTATTTTTTTCATCCAGAGTTTTCAAAAGTGGAATCCCTCGGTAGTATGTGTGGGCAGGCCCCACAATTTTTAAAAAAGGGGTATAATAAAGCTCACAGGAGGGAAGAGTGATTGGTAGGGGCCAGGAGCGCGACCCAACCCCTGGAACCACAACTAGGCAGTACACCACCACACACGTGACACGAATCAGATCTTAAGGTGTGGGAAAGGGAGAGATATCACCGGTGTTCCTTGACCGGGACAGAATTTTCAGGGGAGACAACACTGAAAGAGAAGTAAAACAGTGAAAAATAGGTGGGGAAAAAGCATGACTGATGAAAGTTGAAGCTCTGCTTCAGGAACACACTACACCAGCCCCTCTCATGTGGAAGCCTCAGGAATATTTTAGTTAACCCTCACATTTGGGAAACCTCAGGATATATTTCATTTTAACCCCTCAGGTGGAAGCCTCAGGGGTATATTTCAGTTAAAAAACCCCACATTGTGGAAGCCCAGGGTTTTTTATTTTATTAACCCCACATTTTTGGGGAAACCTCAGGGGGTATATTTTTATTAAAACCCCCACATTTGGGAAGCCCCCAGGGATAATTTCAGTTAACCCTCACATTGGGAAGCCCGGGGTATATTTCGTAACCCCACATTGTGGAAGCCTCAGGGGTAATTTCAGTTAACCCTCAAAATTTTGGGAAACCCCCAGGGATATATTTCAGTTAAACCCCCTCATGTGGGAAACCCAGGGGAAAACCGATTTTCCCCAGCATACGCCCCAAACTAAACTCCCTACTCACTCACCCTTAAAAACCATAATAAAATAACTGTACCTAACCCGGGCCCCCTGGATGGTGCCAAAAGCCTGCTCACAGTTGTGGTCCCGGGGTTTGATTCCCGGCGAAGGAGAGGGAAACTTTGGGTGTGTTTTAATTTCGCTTTGTTGTCTATGTTTACGAATCAGAAAAATGGGTACCCCGGTGTTAGTGGGCCGGGTGGGCACATCCTAAGTGTTAGGGACTGGTGGGTCACATCCTGGTGTTAGTGGACTGGTTGGGTCCCCCTTTGGGGTTAGTGGGAACCATGTGGGTCACATCCCGGGGGTTTAGTGACTGGTTGGGT